ACTTCATATTTAATTTGCGCAAAATTGAAAATGTGTCAGATAAGTGTGATATGTGATCTTTTGAATACTGAGTTTTAACAAGCATATCATCTATATATACCTCCATAGTCTTTCCTAAATGCTCTTGAAACATTTTGGTAACTAACCTCTGATACGTTGCACCTGCATTCTTTAGACCAAAGGGCATTACTCTATAACAGTAAGTCCCCCTATTTGTTATGAATGAAGTTTTTTCTTCATCTCCCGGATCCATTTTAATCTGATTATAACCTGAATATGCATCTAAAAACTTAATAGTTTGTGACATGCAGTTGCATCAATCAATTGATTTATGTGTGGTAGTGAAAAAGAATCTTTAGGGAAGGCTTTATTAAGATCTGTGTAATCTACACAAACCCGCCACTTACCGTTCTTCTTTGGAACTACAACAGTGTTAGCTAACCAGTTAGGATATTTCACCTCACGAATGGAACCATTTTTTTAGCAATTTTTGGACTTCTTCCTGAATCACCTGATTCTTGAAAGTTCCTTGCTTTATTTTCTTTTGCTTGACAGGAGGATATGATAGATCTTCATTTAATTTATGGGTCATCACCTCCGGGGGTATTCCTGTCATGTCAGAATGGGACCAAGCAAAGCAATCTACGTTAGTTTTCAAAAATTCAATTAACTTACCTTTCATACCTTGGCTAAGATTGGCTCCAACATAGACTTTTTTATCAGGCCATTGAGCAAATAACACGACAGGCTCTAATTCTTCTATTGTTGTTTTGATATTTTCACTCTCTTCTGGTTCTTTAATGGTATCAAGCCTTGAATCTACATCTGTTTGCTCTTGTTCAGTTGAGGTTTGTGTTGTGGTGACCTCAACTGCCTTCTGTGATTGCTATTTACCTTTATTTATCGTGCTTGTATCTGCAACAGAGTTGATAGCCCTGGCCGTATGTTAATCTCCACGAATTTGACAGATTCCCCATGGCAATGGAAATTTAATAACTTGATGCAAGGTTGAAGGAACAACATCCATTTCGTGGATCCATGGTCTCCCAAGAATCATGTTGTAAGTCATCTCCATATCTACCACCTGGAACTTTGTATCTTTAACGACTCCTTTAGCGAATGTGGTGAGTGTTACCTCTCCTTTCATGAGGACAATAGAATTATCAAATCCAGATAGAGTATGCGCCTTTGGTATCACTTTATCTTCAGCTTGCATCTCACGTAATACTCTTAGTAAAATAATGTTCACGGAACTACCTGGATCGATCAAAACTCGTTTCACATTAGTATCATATATAATTAAAGATATTACCAATGCGTCGTTATGAGGGGTTAATACGCCATCTGCATCTGCATCATTGAATGTAATGTTGTCTTCCTCTAAAACATGCCGCACCCGTTTCCCTTGGGTAATTGTTACTTTAGAAATTTTGTTAGTTGTAGTATGATATACCCTTGACGTCTTCTCCCCCACTTATAACGTTGACAATTCTTTTGGGAGAAGGTGATTTTGGAGGCTCCTACCTGTTCTTCATGTAAGCTTGCTTGCCTTTCTCACTGAACAACTCAGTAAGGTACCCTTGTTTTAATAAATGATCAGCTTCACTTTGTAAAAATTTGCAATCTGCTGTTTTATGTCCATGGTCATTATGAAACTCACACCAATGGTCAGGGTTGCGCCTGTTTGGGTTCGATCTCATTTCCTTTGGCCATCGAACCTTATCTCCCATGCTTCTCAAAATGGCTACGAGCTTGGAGGTGCTGACGTTGAAGTTGTAACCACCGAATTTCGCTTTTAAATTTTTATCATCATCTCGTGACTCATAGTTATTTCGCTCGTTCCTGAATCTTGATGAAGAACCTGATTCTCTGTTTCTTGATCTGTGATCGTACCTTTGATTATCCTGCTTTGACGGTGAATCTTTTCCCGCAGGTCCCATGTAAGGCTCGTACCTGTTTTTACCGGATCTTCTTTCGGTCTCCGCACGTTTCGAACTTTCCTTTTCTTCTTTTTGAAATTGTGGAACAATATCTTCCTCAATCCTCAGCTTCGTGATGTACCTGTTATAAACATCATTCCACGTTGTGGCTGGGACTTCTCGAAGGCTTTCCTTGAGCCTCCTCGTAGCTTCCGAGCTTTTTTCATTCAAATTACTTGTGAAAGCTATAGCTGCCCAGTTATCAGGTACACGTGGCAATGTCATTCTTTCTTGTTGAAATCTGTCCACGAATTCTCTAAGTAGTTCTGAATCCTCTTTCTTGATTTTGAAATATCCTCCATTCTTTTCTCTAATTTTTGAGCTCCCGAGTGTGCTTTGATGAAAGAATCTGCAAGCTCAGCAAAAGAGTCTATAGAATTTTCGGGTAAAAGAGAATACCATGTTAGCGCTCCTTTGGTGAGCGTTTCACCAATTTTTTTGACTAATACTGATTCAATCTCCTGCTTAGTCAAATCGTTGCCTTTTACACCTGTCATGAATGCAGTCACGTGATCTCGTGGGTCTGTTGTTCCATCATATTTTGGAATATCAGACATTTTGACCTTTTTTGGAATTGGGAGTGGAGCAGCACTAGGCTTCCAGGGTTGTTGTGAATATCTATCTATATCTACCCCTTTGATTATGGGCGGCACCCCGGGTATCTGCTCTATGCGCTCACTTTGCTCCTTGAGCTGTTTCTGCAAGGTTAATACTAAGTTTTGTAAATTTGAATTAACTAAATTACCCGGTTCTCTATCCTACGATTCACTTGGGGGTTCCACCACTGCCTGAATTAACAAGCCTGGAACGAGGGTTCTCCGGGGTGTTGTTATTTGGAGTAGGTGTGGGGGATGCAGCAGGTAACCAGCTAACCAAGGCCTGAGCGACTTTATTGACCTGTGCGGTAATAAGTTTTTGCAAAGCCTCATCCATAGCTTCAACATTTTCGAATTGAGCCCGTCCATTAGTATGAGATCCCTCAGGAGTGCCTTCACGAGATCGTCGAGGAGAGCCTTGTGGAGAAATAATCAGTGCATTATTATCCTGAGGGTCTCTCTAATGTTGTTGGTTTATTTGGTTTTCTTGGTTTCCTTGAATGTTGTCATTGTTGTTCGACATAGTTGATGCAATAAGGAAAGTTAAGCAAAAAGAAAATAGATTATCAGATTCCCGGTAACAGAACCAATTTGTTTAACCAAAAAATAAAATTTTAGTCAAAGCTAGAATTTAGAAGAACACGAGTTACTAATAATCAAAAGAATGTATAAAAGGAAGTGATTTAGATAGCAAGAGAGTAATCAAGAGAAAAACAAGTAAACCAAAGTTTTATATCAATAGTATTTCATGTCCCCACAATTGATCAGATGTCTCCCTTTTATAGATATCTTGGAGATATACGTTTTGCCCAAATCATAATGAGGCTATTATGAGTAATTAAAGACATTTAATGCTACGTTACTTAATTATTATATTCAATACAAATTCTCTAACATATTTCACATTTAATGCCTATTAAATGCCATATCTGCACTATTTTCTATTGTCAGAGTCATTCCTTTTGATTCTCGGACATAAATGACTTAGATAGGTACAGGTGCTGGGTTATTTGTATTCCTGCCTGTGCCTCTTCCTCTGCCATTTGCTCGTATTTGTCGCAACTCGTGCCTCTTGACTAGTTGTAATTCTTTGACCATTTGACCAGTCTACGTGTTTCGACACGTATTCGACACGTTACCTTTATATTTAAATACAATTTTTCCCAATACATTAATCAAAACGTATTTTCTGTCATTTTCGACTAATAACACAAAAGATTAGGAGAAGTTTATGTTTTATAACTTGGTGTGCATACTACCAATAATAATTCAGAAGGTACAAATCCGTGTTCAGGTTTTCCACATTTTCTAAATTTACATATTTGCAGATCATTGGTGCGTATAAGAAACTTTCTTCAAAATATTATTGTAGCCATTTTTGGAGTGAATTTAAGTTATATATACTGACAGTGTAAATATTTTTTAAATCAGTATAATTTAATCAGTTAGAATATGAAACTTAAATTCTTTGTATAATGACAACGAAAATAGGTTGTCAGTAGGCTTGTTCATGAATCGGATTCGGATTTAGCACATTTCGGATTATAATTTCGGATTTTGTAAATTGCAATCCGAATCCGAACTAAATTAAACTCGGATCGAATCGGATTTTAATGTTTGAATCGGATAAATATTTCGAATTTCAGTTCGAATTGTACGCCTAATTAAGATACTAAAATAAATAATTTTAATATGCTATCTCCTACCATTTTCAGTAGCAAAACTCATTCATTTCCATATCCTTTACTTGTAATACTGAAAGGAAAGAAATGGCAAAAACAGTGATAGAAACAACAAAGAAATCTTAGAATTTTTAAAAGAGCACCCCTCACTTTTATATGTAAAATATAAATTTCGGGTTTCGGATTAGTTTTTATGTAAATTGAGCCAAACTGTATAAAAGGGCAGCCCGATGCACTAAGCTCTTGCTATGCGCGGGTCCGGGAAGGGCCGAACCACAAGGGTCTATCGTACGCAGCCTTACCCTGCATTTCTGCAGGACGCTGTTTCCACGGCTCGAACGCGTGACCTTTTGGTCACATGACAACAATTTTATCAGTATCTGATCCGATATTCAAATAATTAAATTAAATATCCGAAATCCACTCCAAAGAGCTAAAATCCAAAGTATTACAAGCGGACGTAAGTTCATTTTCTTCAGTTGACTTTGCTTCTATACTGTCCCATCACTTTTAAAGAAATTTTTAATGTTGTAATAATGCTGTATAATATTGAAACCAAAACAGTAAGAGAGAGATAATATTGAAAATTAGCACATGTATCTGTTGGAAACATGTATATACACATACATAGTGAACAACAAAGAAACAACGAATAGAACAAAAAAGATAATCTTTTTATTAATTTGGTGCCATAGCACAAAAAGGTACAATGAAATAACTCATAATAGCTAATAGGAAAAATGGATTAAAAAAAGAGGACATTTTCTATACAACAATAACTTACGACCCAAAAGATCAATTTTTCCGTAAGCAAAATTGAAGAACTCATTTGATATATTACTTAGTGCTATGTACCGTTGATATTCGAATCTACCAAAACTTAGCAATGAATTGGTGGAGGTGACTTATATATAATACTACTATATAAGTGCAGGTTTTGGTGAAGGCGGATGTGGAGACTTGTAATAACGAGTTTGGTAATAAGGTGGTGATGGAATTTGTAACGTATATCGCGCTTGGAGGAGAAGATGACTTATAATACTAAATAGGTGCAGGTGCTGGTGGAGACTAATAATTAGAAGGAGATGATCGAGACTTAATTACTTGGTGGTGTCCGAGTTTTGTACTAAGGTGGCGATGGAATTTGTAAACATATGTTGGTGATGAAGGCGGAGGTGACTTGTAAACATAAGTCGGTGATTCATTTGGAGGAGATTTGAAGTGGTATCGCGCGCAAGTATAGGCTTGGGCTTTTTGCATACCCTAAAAGATGTCTTAGAAGCATAAGCAAATGGTTTTGCATAGAGTACAACTTCATAATTAGTCTTTGATTTCACTTTGAGATTAGCACCCTTAATTCCCAAATGAAAATTTGTTGGAATGTTACATTTTGAATCTTTTGGTGCCTTTTGAAGTTTAATTTTGCAAGCCTTTGCTCCATATTTGTGATAATCAAATCCTTTGAGAGTAATACTAAATTTGCCATTGATCTTAGTGTTACCATAACTCACAATTTTCTTGTCACCAACATTGCAAGTCACTTGAACAACAGCACCTAATCCATGTGAACAAGAAATAATACTTTAATCAACATTAAAATAATTGAATGGTTAACAAATATTATATACATGTATTTTCCTGATTTATTTTCCTATTCAACATACTATAGAACTAGTTGCACGTAACTAGGGGCGGATCTAGTGCAATAGATATGGGTTTACGTAAATTCAGTAACTTTTGCCTAGATTCTATTTTTGTATTAAAAATTTATTAATTTTATATGAATATTTAGCTTGGAACCCAGTTCCTTGGTCCAATTATTATTGTATATTAGTTTGAGATCGTGTAAGAACCCATAAGCTTAAAATCCTAGATCCTCTAACGTAACCAAGGGCGGATTTAAGGGGGCAGAAGGGGGTTCACCCCCTTCCCCAAAAAATTATTCTGTACATATAAGGAAAAATATTTTTATTTTTTAATAATAAGAGTAGAACAGGGATTTTTTTTGTCTTTATCTTGATTTTTGCTAAAATGAATAAGTAAAGTATAGTGTACAAGTAAAAGTAAACGGACGGAGTACTAGTTTATCATTTTCTTTCTTAATCATTTCTTCTTCACTTTATATAGAAGAACTTTATACAAAAGCTTTGCCAATGTTCATACAAAATGACAAATGTTACTCCAAAACACAGAAAATGATGGATCCTAAGATCCAAATATCAAGAAGACACATCTAACAAATAATACTCCAAGAATTAACGTCAAAAATAGACGATGAATTACATATCCCATCAAAAAGAAAATTTAGTTAAGTGAATAAATGATGAAATATAAACAGAAAATAGAAGAAATAGAGGGTGTGGAATCAGGATTATTGTACCTCTGAGATGTTTCTTGCCATGAGACATTTTTGGGTATTTCCAATTGTAGCATCTTATACAGTAGACTTTTCCAACAACCTTAACCACCAAGTGATGACGTGGACCATAGGGTGCTGGAGGTGAAGAAGGCGGCGGGGGAGGCAGAGGCAGAGGCCGAGGCCGAGGCAGAGATGCATACACATATGGTAGAGGTAGAGATAGCGATGGAAGAGGTGGTGATTTATAGGCATATGATAGTGGAAGTGAAGGCGATGACAGAGAAGAATATACATAAGGATCCGCTGAAGTAACATTAGCAACAACTAATGTAGCCAATATTGCCACGAAAATGCGTGGCAAATGACGACCCTTGGCGGGGCTGTCTTTGCCTCGAAATCTCATCTTCGTCCAAAAATTTCACTGCCAGCCCTGTAATATGGCTAAACAAATCTTATAGAACAAAGGTCATGACTTTGGGATTCAGTTGTCAAATTATTTATAGATGCAATCCTGAGAAGTAATATGAGTTGTCAATTAGATAGGGACAAATTTTATTAGTCTGACTGATGCTCAAGACTTAAAAAAAAAAAAAAAACAGAATTTAACAGTTTCAAATATTTTTTGATCCATTTGAGTTGTCCATTGCACTTCTTTAACAAGTAGTATTTACCATCTAGCCAGACAATGAGAACACAACATGTGAATTTGTACAGAAACACATGTCATCTATTTGTTTTAGGGAAAGACAGTGCTAATTTTTAAATACTTCCTCTCTCTTCCCATTTTGATTTCTTTGTGTTGCATTTTGGAAGCCTAAACAGTAATGGCGGAGCCAGAATTTTCATTAAGGGATGTCAAAATATAAAAAAATAAATACACAAAAAAATTTAAGGAAGTCAACGTATAGTAAATATACACAAAAATATCTAGCAATACAATATAATTTTCTGGCGAAGGAGTTCCTGGGTTGAATGTGGCTCCACCACTGCTAAACATCATAGTCGAAACTAGAAATTGGAGCTTATAAGTTCAAAATTTTAGTACTTTTAAGTTGTCGAGTTAATAATTTATACATAATTAATGTATTTCTTAAAGCAAATACAAAATTTATTTTAAAGCTACTAAATTCAGCCCAACTCGTACCGATATTCTAGCTCCGCCCTTACTAAACAGGATAGTGGGCTCACTGTTAAATTTGTAACAAGATACTTAAATTTGTAACAAATCTCTGTGACTTCACTGCATTATCAGCGTTAGGTCCTAAATAGCCGTAGGAATGACTGTTCAAATACTACACATTTTACTTTTGCATATGAACTTGGTCTATAATTGTAGATTACATTTAACTTTTCAAATTACTTATCTATCTTCTGAGATTAACTAAGAAAATAAATGCATTGAGTTCAGAAATTAAAAATTATACTTCTATATGAATCTGCTCTATAACTTTTCAAATTTTTAACCTTTTGAGGGTATATATATATATGTGTGTGTGTGTTGAAAATAGTAATCCAAAAAGAAGACAAAAAGGTAAAGTTACCGAGTAGGAATCGATTGGAATGGAGCTCAACCCTCATAGTCGAAGCCAGATTGTAGATGGTGTATTGGAAAAATGATAAATAAGTAAATGGAGGAGTGGAAAAGCTGATATTTATAAATTTGTAATTATTATTATTATTATTGTTATAAGGTGAAAGAGTTAACTATTCAATTCACATTTTAAAGATTGATATTAATTGTATAGATAGTGGAAGATGAAAGTTAATCTAAATATAATAGATTACAATAAATGACATTAACTTTAGAAACATATTTGTCAATTTTTCAGATTCAAAACAATCCGTTCACATTTTACATTTAATATATGTACTATACAATTTATTATATATCGAAATGTAAATTTTCATTTTAGTAAATTTGATGGATATTTTCATATTTCAACTTTAGACTTAGTAGTCCTATTTAATTAATTAGATATTTAATTTACTGTTGGGGTAAAATGGTAATCCAACTTTGGGAGTAGGAGCTTCCCACTTTTAGTATAATATGATGATATGATATGATATGTTGATATGTTTTTAATATTTCATCATTAATTTATTTAACTATATATTTTCCTTTTTTGATACTTTATTCGTTACGTTGTTACCAGAATTCGTAAATGTGTCTATTTTATTTGGATCTTAGGATCCATAAAAAGTCCAAATTGGTTTCGTACTATCCAAAATTCTCAATATAATTTTACTTTCCCTTACATATTTGGTCGTCCATCATAGGATTGTCGTTAAAAATCGTCTCAAACTTGCCCATTAAAGGATATATATGTATATGTAGATAAATTTTGAATGATTGGATAGTGTAAAAATTTATGTATCTCGTCTGTGTATATAGTTAAACTCAATTACCAAAAAAAAGAAAAGCCATTTCCATTTTGTTTTATGCTTTTAGTGTCCCTTTAATGTACTCCTCGTTACACTTTGTGTTCAAATATACTCGTATCATTATACTATTGATTCAAATATACCTCTTTTCTATTAAGTTTGTCCAAAGTGGACATTCAATCCTATGTGGCACTGACATTTGATGAGATAGATGTCACGTGGCTTGCCACCTCAGCACCCCTAACCCACTTTACCCCTCTTTTAATTTTTTTCCACCACTAGAATTTCCTTCCCCTCCACCACTATTGCCACCATTACCGCTGCCATGATAAATATTGTATTTTAAGTTTAGTTTTTCATAAATGAATTAGGGGCAGTGAGATGACATGTCATGTGGCACCCACCTCATCAAATATCAGTACCACATAGGATTAAATATCCATCTTGAACAAACTTAACAGAAAAAAGGTATATTTGAACCAATAGTATTACATCACGGTATTTAAATCTAAAGTATAACGAATAATATATTTACATATTTTTTTATAATACAGAAGTGTATTTAGCCCTTTGCCGTTTTCTGATTAGTCAAACCATTTGGGAGGAAAGAACGAAAGAAAAAGATAAAGAAAGAGGTGAGTGACACTTCGACCCATGTAATTGAGTAAGAAAAACAACTTTAATTTTCTAAAGGCTAGTGCTTGGAGTCAATCTACTTCCATAATAGTCCCTTTATTCAAATACTTTTGATTTGTATTACTTGCAGGTAAAGTTGACATATGGGTTTAACGTAAACTAATTAGAGAAAATTTCACTTTATACCCATTAATTCTAAATTATTTACTTTAATATTATGCCCAAACTATTTATTATTCCTACCCATAAAGCCCAAACTATTTACCCGGTATTCTTGACAACAGGGCCTCTTTGTTATTATTGTTCTTGATTTCTTTTTTCTAGGAAAAAGAATTCAATCATGGCTGTATATTTCAAGTATAAAAGTGCTAAAGATTATGATTCAATTCCAACTCTTGATCAATTTATTTCTGTTGGCAATTTGAAATTAAAAATATTTGAATCCAAGCGTTTTGGTAGGGGTAAAGATTTTGACCTTCTTACTACCACTGCTCAAACTAACGAAGATTATGTGGATCAATTCTGCTCCACTAACGAAAATGGCTAATTTCAATTTTGCTCCACTTTTTCTTGATTGTTCTTTCCCTAGCTCTTGCTCTTGCCTTGGCCCTTGAATTTAAAATTTTTATTTTGAAGATTTCTTGTTTGATTCAAAGTGGGTGTTGTTAAATAGTGCTTATAGTATCTTCTGGAAGTTCATACTGAAATTTGATAGCATTTGGAGCTGATTTGAGATCGAAATTTTCAGTTGAAAATCGAAGAAGAACACAACTGCAGTATACTGCTACGGTATACAATATGTTGTAGGAGTATATAGCTATCCTGCAGTAGTATACTATTATAGTTTATAATATACAGCAATATATTGTAATAATAGAAGAAGAATACAGTTACCTAACAATATATTGCTACAGTATACAATATACTATAGGAGTATATAGTTATATTGCAACAATATACTATTATAGTATACTATAATAATATGCAATATACTGTAATAGTATGTTGTAATAATATACAAGATACTATAATAGTATACTTATTACACGTAAATTTACTTGCCTTTTCCCTTTTTATTTGCTTTAAGCTTTTACCCAGCGTGAGGGGCAAATTGAAAGTGCAAAAACAAAAAAATATTATAGTATGATATATAATGTAACGGTATACTCTTACAATTAGATCCTTTTAGAATTTTTTGAAATTTTTATTGACAACTAATATTATTTCAGTTTAATAATTGAATTAAATTTTTTTAACTCTTTGCGTAAAATTGTATACCTTATTGGTATAGCTATATACTATACTGGTATCATATGTTAGTTAATATTTTTTGGTTGTATTAGCTACATTTAATTACTACACAATTTGATTTTTCTTTAGTAATAGTATAAAAAAAAGAATAATAAAAAATAGTGAAAACAGTAAATGAAATTAGATTATCAATAGAAAAAGAATATAAAAAAAAAGAAGTTAAATGAAATTAGAAAAGGAAAAAAGAAAAAAAGAAGAAACCGAGAAAAAAGAAAAAAAGAAGAAAAGAAGCATAGAAATAAAAAAAGAATTGGATAATAAAGAGAAAATTCCCCACAAAAACTATTATGGGTAGGAAATGTAATTAGTTTATGGGTAGAAAAATAAATAGGTAGACAAGGGTAAATAATTTTGTTTTTGTAGATAACTGTGTCAAAACCCAACTAATTACTCATTAAATTTAAGTATTAATTAAGTCGACCCTCACTCAGCGACCCAACTCTTACTAGTTTTCAAATTATAAAGGGAAGAAAAATGACACTGTATAATCGTTCTCAAAATAATAACCGAAAAATATATACTTTTTTATATATATACATTTTGTATGTTACATACAAAAATTATACAAATTTTATACATTTTTTCGGCTACCGAGTATAAATAATTTCTGACGCAGGCTAAAAGTAATAATACTCCTAAAACAATCCTATCTAGTTATCGAATTTTAGATCATACTCATATACTTCGATGATACTTTGGTGATGTTTGCGCAAAATATGTATATGTTTAAAAGTTAAACTATACTTCCGCTCTAAATTGAGCTTTATCATTATCCGTGAGCTTTTGATTTCAAGTTTCCTTTTATATTATTGGCATTATTTGTTTAAGCAACTTAATGTGAAAGTAAGAGTCTACAACAGTTTCCAAAAATTGAAACTGAATCCACAAGACCTTTCAAGATATTGTTCATTTCAAACAGAAAAACAAGATAAAAGTTGAAAAGTAACCAAAAGAACTTTGCATTGCTTACGACTACGTAAAGAGAACCAGCACCAGCAACAACAACAACAACAAATCTAGTGTATTCCCGCACGTGGGGTCTGGGGCTAAAGAGAACCAGCGAATAGGAGATATAAGAAGAATGATCAAATTCATGAGTTCAGCAAGTCTGGTTTCAATAATCACGAGTCCAAAAAAGTCTACACGTGTATATATGGATCGAGTGGCAAAAAGAGGAACACCGGAGACGGGTGATCCTCGGGTGTATACAAAGCACAACAGCAGAACAATATGAGGGGTCTATGCAAGCAATCTTTGACCCCAAATGACTGATAAATGGTAATGCAATTGCAAAACCCTCAAAAAGAAGGAATCAACATATACTCCCTATATAACTGTTTTCCTTGAAAACTACATGCACCCAAAAAGTAATAACTCTACAACAGAGGGTGAGTTTAATAGGCTTACAGACCAGAAGACATTCTGGATACTATGACACAAATGAGGCACATCTTTAAACATTACTTACGTTCAGAATTGGGCGAAGTTCATTGGTATCCTCCACCATATGGGTGTTGGCCATAGGGACCCATGCCCATCCGGGGATTGTAACCTCCCGGCATAGAAGCTCCAGGAGGAAATCCGGTAGGCTGTTGCATCTGAACTCCTTGACCCATGTTCATTCCCATGCCCATGTTCATAGGTCTATTCATCCCCATGCCATAAGGCTGGTTTACTCCTCCATATGCTCCCATGCCAGGTCCCCCTGCAGGGCCACCAGCACCCATACCCATGCCCATGCCCATGCCCATACCAGAACCTACCATTGGGTGCGATGGAGGAGGCCTTAGTGCACCAGCACCAGCGCGACCAACTCCGGAACCTGAACCCATTGCTTTGCCCATGTTAACAGTTGATATCACGGGGGCTGTACTGGGTTTCTCCATCCTTTTCTCCTTGCGATTAATAGCATCAAAATCAACCCCAATATCAGCTAATGGATTTGTTTTAGCTGCATAACAAAAATTGCAATGTCATAACAAGGGAAAAGAAAGGAAATTTGCATAATCCCAAAAGAAAACACCTACATCCAGAAATGTTCAAATTGACCAGTCCACGACTCAATGTATCTGCCCAAACAGTAGACTTTGTCTCGAATTTGTCTTTGGCTGGTTGGGTGCTGCTGATGGGAGCTGTTGAAGCTGGAGTAGTTTGTGTTAGCACTAGCGCATTACTTGTTTGAGTTTGTGAATATTGAAGAGGCATTTGGGAAGGCATGTGGGATGCAGCAGTTGGCTGTGAAAGGTACGGTTGTCCAGCAGATGTTTGACCCATTTGGGGACCAAATGGACCTGTAGCTCCTAATCCTGTGTTGTAACCTCCAGCATTTGCATTGTTCTGCATAGAGGAGCCGCCAGGACCCCCGAAACCAGACTGTGGATAGAAACCTGTTGCAGAGTGGAAACCAGCAAGAGATGCAGGTTGACCACCTTGGGGTCCAAATCCAGTCTGTGATGCTTGACCAGGTTGAGCTGGAAAACCTCCAAAAGGTGGAGAATTGTTCGCTTGACCAGAAAAGCCCGCTGGAGATATAGTTTGTCCTTGACTTGGAAAACTGGTATGTGGTGACTGTTGGCCAGGTTGAGCTGCAAAACCTGTGGGAGGCGCCGCTGGGCCCGGAAGTGCCAGATAACCTGTATGTTGTATAGTTGCCCCGCCATGAGATTCAAAACCTGCCTGTGTAGCAGGTTGGACACTTGGAGGTGGAGGACCAGATGGTGGGAGAATATCAGCCAATATATCAATCTCCTGGTTGGAGGTGGACAGCTCCTGCTGAGCGTATTGCATATTAGTTGGAGTAACCTGACTATATGTTGCACTTGAGATCTCAGCACCCTGAGGGACCGATTGAGGAAGCTCAGGGCTTTGATTTATATTAGGATGGAAAGATGTAGAGTTCTGCAGATGAGTTTGCATGCTATTCGAGGTCATAGCCCTGAAAGGACCATCACCAAAAGGATCCTCAAACATCTGCAAGAAAAGCAAATATTTCTTCAGTAAGTAAATTGTAGAATGACAGAATCGTAAATGTGTGCAATACAACACATATGGTTAACTCATTAAATGCCCTTGCACTGGTTTTGGTTTATCCACCTGGTTAGAGATGGTAGATCCTGATGATGCTTCCCCAAACATGGTCTCAGTGCCAGTGCCAGTGGTCCCAGAAGGATTAACCTCAGAGGCACCCGAAGCTGCAGGTACAAGGGCTAATGAGTTGGAGGAAAACGGCTCAGACAAGGCGCCAAGTAAATCCATTTCGCCACCAGAAGTAGTTGACACAGGAACATTTGATGGAGCTGGGGCCGCTGCTCATACAGGTGAAAAATTACTTGCATTAGAATGGTAAAGTAACAAATCATTTACAAAACCATTTGAGAAGCACTTGGGAATCAACGCGCAATAAATAAAGATTAATCTGGTGTATAAGGAGCCTGTAATCAATATGATACCAGCATTAGCAGAGCAGACAAAAAATAATGAGGTTCCAATGTGACATTAAGGGACTCCTCAGCTCTACTAATACATCACATTGTGTATTAAACCCTCATTTCTGTGCTTGGAATTCTCAATTACCCTTAATTTAATTCAGAATTTCACTCGCTTCATAGTACAGGCAGTATCATCAGCAAATAGCACCCTAGATATCATAATTTACTGCTGAAAATTACTGCCAACTATTAACCACTTTATGCAGCCTCTATCCTCTGATTTTGCATCTCTTAAGCTTCCATATTAATGGTGTATGAGATGGGCTAGAGGGAGTCATTTTCGTTATTTTGGAACTTCGGACTGAAAATTTAGCTGTGGATATGCACCATTTTATCCATGCAATTCATTTCCTTTAATATTGTGAACAAAAAGTTGCTGTTAACATGATTGAAGGCCTTTTCCATATAGAATTTGCAGGCCACCCATGGAGTTCCTTCTTTTATTGCTCAAAACCCATATAATATAAGCAAAGCTTCAGCAATTTGTTTGTGCGATATTAAGGAAATCTGAGAATCTTTTATCAAATTGCTCGTAACACCTTACACTCTTGTTCTCAGTACTTATGAAATTAGGTTATATACACAACCCAGCGCAAATTTGTTTTTGGTATTAGCGCAATAAATGACACATTGAGGCTCTTCGCAGTGACCATCCTCAAATAAGATGCTTTTACTGCTGCCAGAACTGAAGTAAAGACTGACTGGGCACTTTATTAAGATGAGAAGATAAAAGGTGCAAGTAAATGGAGAGGGCACACGTTGATTTTGATTTCTTAGGAACATAAGTTAGTGAAAAGGTGGGTCTTAAAAGATGTATGTTGTAATAATTCTCTTTATGCGATGCCAAATAAGGATTATTTTAATTTTTAACAGAAAAAAGAAAGGGACGGTTCACATTCACGTTATATAGTATACACAAGTTACACCTTTACCAACACAGCATGGGTCATAAAATGTCCTGTGCATTTTGATTGTCCTCTCTATAACAAACATGTACTTCCCAACTTCACCCACCTTTACCAAAATAAATTTTTAACACATCTGAATTTGCTAATACTTGTAACAAAATCGTAACTTTTGGAGTTTGGTTGGTCCCAATTGTTTATTTAATTGAGCAATTTCCAGCAGCATGCTACACGATTAAACATCTTTGACTGACAGACACACTGCAAGTTACTTTCTCAAAGCACCACATTGAAGGAAGTCTAGTTACTAAAGACAAAATAGGAAACTAGTAGCTCCTTATTATCACCAAATATTTTGGAAATGTTTACTGCCAGTAATATACTTAAAACATTAAGCACTAATTTGGCCATTTCTTTAGTGGGGGTCGTTTTACCTGAAAAAGATGCACGGGGATCAAATTCATCAAAACTCTCAACAACCTTGTTGTCTGGTGGTGGAGCAGTAGCTGCTGCTGGAGCTGGTGGTGAAGCAGTAGCTGCTGCTGGAGCTGGTGGTGGAGCAGTAGCTGGTGCCGGAGAAGGCATATTAGCTGGGCTAGGACTGGCACTTGCATGAGGAGAAGAAGATTTGGGAGCAGATGCTGAAGAAGTGTCTACATCCCTTTTGACAAATAATAAAATAGATCAATATAAAATTTTCAAGGAAATAAACGGGAAAAAGGATCCTTTTTACAACTATTACCTTTCACTATGTGCTGGGCTACGTGAAGCACCAACAGCTTCCTCATAACTAGGAGGTGCACTAAGGTTTTGTTCAGAAAACCTCCTTTCAAGCGGCCTACATGAACAGTGTATCGAAAATTTAAATCTTATCAAATAAATAACACCATTTCTTAATTAAACCAATACTTAATGACAAAAATATATTAGGATAACTAAAAGGCACACTAATAACACCATCCATCCTGAGAGTGATCCTCAGCTCTAGCACCATTTCCTCTGTTAGTCATGAAGATTAAATTAATGCATTATGGGCAAAACAACAACAACAACATACCCAGTGTGATCCCACAAGTGGGGTTTGAGGAAGGTAGAGCGTACGCAGACCTTACCCCTACCTTGTGTGAGGTACACAGGCTATTTCTGATAGACCCTCGGCTAAGGAAATGCATTATGGGCAAGAATAAAAGATTTAAGAATGTGCATAGATAAAACATCAATTTCAGAGTAATGGCAACAGAACCTGCTCGCTAAATTTTATTCCTTTACCTATTAGAATCATCTAACCAATATCAAATTACAAAAGTCCTGACCTTATTTAAACAAAAAGATGAAAAGACAAACCTAGAAGAATATTGACCGTCGTCATCATTGCCACGATCCTTGTACCTGTCAGAACTTCTACTTCTTGATCCATAATTAAAATCATCAGTGCTCCGACTTCTTCCACGATAATCATCATCCTTGTATCCATCTCGGCTGCGCTCATCGTAATCTCTACCATAGCGATCCCCATCACGGCTGTTTGAGTCTCCATATCTGCCATATTTGTCCTCATCTTTGTAGTATTCCCTTTCCCTCCCATAACCATTTCTTTCTTCATCTCTGCCTCCATAACGATCTTCATCAAATCTGTCACCATACCCTCCTGAACCTGAATATGAACCAGGGCGATACATACCACCCGTTGACGTGTTGCGGAATCTATCAAGATGATAAAATTTGTCAGAGAACATTACCTTTGTAGACAGTACCAATGAAATTAGAAATTATATGGCTATAGTCGTCATCAGAGCATAGTCATACATATACCTTTCAATGGGTACGTCAGAACACAAAAAAAAAAAGGATACCACAGATAGACATATATAGGGTACATACAGCTGGATGTGCAAGTAGCATGTGAAAAAATCTTAATGTTTGGATAATGGCTGACTTGAATTAATAATTCACAAATACTCACATGCTTGAGCATAAATAACATGCAGACACTAGACAGATGTTTCCCCTCAAATATAGCAGATTGACAAAACCTTATCTTAGTAATATATGTAAGTTTGAATTAAGACACCATGGGAAATTCAGATATTCTCATACACTCTTTTATGCCGTGACAATTCTCACTTGAACTACGGAACTCATTGGTACCGTAGCCAGTAAATTGAAGTACAGAAACAATAATTAATCAACAAGGTTAATGAGGTTTGTCAAAGGCAAATAGCAAAAAACTCATTGGTAAAGATATAATGCTATGCAAAAAAAAAGAGTAAAAAATAGTCTAAAAAAACTTTAAAACAATGCTTATAAAGGGGCTGAAGAACAACTCCCGTTTTTGCTTTAATTTATTACTGGGGAGAGGGGTATGGCTTGTCAAAGGCGAAAAGGCAAAAGGCACATATAGTTGCTGGGGCTTTATGCAGAAAATGCAATGAAAGCACACACCTTAGCGGAAAAAAAAAAAAGATTTTATACAGGAGGCAAAGTACAAACACAAACAACAATGATATGCATACGTGAATTGGAAATACTTAATATGTAGTAAAGCATGTAAATCAAGTTTAAAACCACTTGTAAAATGTCAAATTCACATGCAAAGATACACTTCTAAATTTTCAGTTCGATTTAGAGATTAGAGTTCAGATACAAATATTCTAATTTCTGATCCATACATCCATAACATCCCCGTTCTCATTGGTCTGATGGGTCTTTTTAGAATCAGTTATTCCACATTCTTTTTGTGTAATCTGATTCCTTAACAATTAACACATCATTTTGATGGGCGATATCTATTATTGCTTCCCTTCAAGAGGGAGATCATGAGCCTATCTTGAAGGTTTTTGTCGAGGCAGGCTCCCAGCCTTAGCTGCACCTCAAGTACAGGGCTTAAGAACATCTCAAGCAGCCATTTGACAACACCGCATGGGAG